AGCCAAGTCAGGATTCAGGTACAGGCTGGCACACTGCCTCCCTCACAGAGGCACAGACAGGGCGATCTCTGGAACTGTGTCACCCCCAAGAGCCTTCCCTGTTTCCACACTCACCGCACGGCAGATCCCTTCCCCTCGGCCCATGGCAGCTGTGCTGCCGCCTCCCGCTCTGGCATTAGCGCTCCCACAACCAGGACCTGCTCTCCAACTCGCCTCCTCCACCAACTGGCCCTCAGCTCTCAGCCATGTCCTAAACCCCTGAAAAAACCTCTGCACCTCTGCCTGTGTCTTTGCTTGCTCCTGCACCTGCAATGCCACCAGCGTCTCCACCTGCCACACTCCATCCTGTCAACAATGTCTTGAGCCAAGCACATAGCGCACCTGGGCCTCCACTCTGGCTTCACCTCCGTTCATTCCTGAGTCCTCTTCTTAGAGCACTGATCTGATTACTCACCCTCCCATGGAGGTGGCCACTGTGTTTATGGTAAAGCCAGCCCCTAAAAGCCCTGCATGATCCAACCCTACCGTTCTCACAGAACTCACGCTCCAAGTCAGATTCCTCTGGCCCCCCCAGATCTTCTCAACCCACTCTCCCCACACAGCTGTCCCCTCCTCAAGGGACATATCCCCTCGTCACCCTGTGATGGGCTCTGCATGCTCCAGTCACCTTCTGGATCAGCTCACAGGCCCAGTCTTGCGAGTTCACGCAGAGCAGCAGCTAGTATCTCTTGTACCTTGTGCTTAGCTCTTGGTCTGACACAAAGATCTGAATGAATGAAGGCCTCCCCCCAGCCACACCTCCATTCCTGCTCCTCATCAGATATCTGTGCTCCTCTCTCCCCTGGACCTGTGCGATGCCCCCAGTCTTGGGCTCAGGTCACCTAGTCCAGTCCCCACTCCAGGCAGGTCCACAACTGAACCATCAAAGACCCACACCTCATCCCTCAGAGAATATGGCGCGTCCTTCTCAGACAGGCTCTCAGGGCTCCACCTTCCACAGCTAGATCCAAATCCTGCAAGTCACCAGTCAGTAACAAGCCTTGCAGCCCATCAATTCAGCCAGTTGAGGATCTTAACATGATAATGGGACCAACCTCAGAGAAATGCAGAATTCACTAACCAGGGCCAACCTCTAGGAAACACATTACATGTCCATTTGGGATGAACGTATTGATAACAATGAGCCCAGCCAAAGACCTATCCTCCCTCCCTCATGGGGCTCCCTGTCCTTCCTGGGGAGCTTCAGGGATCACAGGTACCAACCTCATCCCTTGGGGTGAGGTCAACCATCCACCACCACATCTTCTTGCAAGAGAGTCTGTTGGTTCCTAAGGTTCTTCACCCCCTCCCTACTCCTTTGCCTCTTCTTAGCCTCTGCCTTGGCAAGGTGATGAATTAGGAGCCAGGAGTTGGCACATTCACCAAGCAATTAGTGTTTATCTCCCTTGTTTCTGTGGCTGAACAACAGTTCATTTTCAAACTTAATAGTCAATACGCAGAAAGATAACACTGCCTGGGTCACTCTTGCGAAGTGATTTGAGGGTTTGGTGGGAAAAGGGGCTGGGACATGAGCTGGCCCTGCCTCAGCTTACCAACCCCCGGCCTTCTGGACAGGCATTCCTGGGGCCCCCACCTGTGACCCTTCTAACCTCTCTCCATGGTCCATCAGGAGGCAGGGACAAAGGTCCCCATGTCGTAGCTGGGACATCAGAGGGGGACAAGAGTCAAACAGCTCTGCGGTTCCCTCCCCCTTGGACTTCGAGGACTCTGCCTTTCTGCCTCTCTCTTCACCAAGAGCAGCCTTGGGTAGAGCCCTGTCCGACTCATGCAAGCCCCTTTGGGAGCTTCAGAACTGAGCCTGCTGTGCCCATCCAACCTCCTCCACAGGCCAGCTACCTGCAGAGGGAACCCAAAGGTGGTGCCCATATAAGGGGAGCTTGCCCCTTCTGCAGAATTCCATGCCGGCTCAGGCAAGGTCTGGTGGGGTGAGCAGTAAGCCCCTATCGCCTACTCAGACATGGGGACTGCTGTCCTGGAGTCACACATTCTACAGGCTGGGACAGAAGGGTCTAGTCTGCTAACGCAAAAGTGAGGGAAGGAGGAGAGCAAGAGGTTCACCTCATGGAAGGGCCCTGGGACCCAGTCCTGACTGCCCAGGCTGGGGCAGGAGCTTGGCGCCCATTCACTGCAGTGAAATGCTGTCACCTGCCGGCCATACCCCAGAACTGCAGGAGCCCTGGTGTGGGCCCTAGGGCTAGGCCCAGCAGCTTCCCCGCTGTGACTCTCTGCCAAGCGCAGAAGGCCACGAAAGAGGGAAAATCAAGCTTCATCCCAGGTTGAAATGTCGTCATTGTCATTGTTGCTAATTCCACAATAATAATAGTATAACCTCTCAACGGCTGGGCCTTTGCTAAGCCAGGTACTTTGCACAGTTTTTGTTGCTCACAAGTCCTTTATAATAGTATCCCCACTGAAGCTCAGAGTGGGCAGCTTTCCCCTGGTCTTACAGTTGCTGGGCAGTGCAGCCAGGATTGTGGCCCTGGCAGTGTGGCTCCAGCTCCACGCACTGCCCTCGGAAGCCCATGCCTCAGCTCCCCACACAATGAAATGTGCCAGGCACCCCTCATTGGATGTCTTCCTGCTGCCCTTTTGATTTTTGCATCTTCCTCTCCCATTTCCTCTTCCCAGTAACCTGCTTCTTAGTCTCCAGGGCCGGTTCATGTGCCAGGCACTGCTCTAGGACAACATGATGTAATAGCCCCTCTTATCACCAAGTCCTGAGGCCCAGGGCAGAGCTCAGAAGCTCCTGGGACACCAGCCTTCCTCCCTCCTGAACAGAGAAGGCTTCTCAGATGGGGACCCATGGCCCTGACAGGGTCTAAAGGAGAGACCACAGAGCTGGGTACAGGGAGCCTTGGGGATTTGGGGGTCCAACCTGCATGGCTCTCAGCCCAGAGCTGATGGTAGATTCCCAACCTGGGACCAAGCTCAAGGTTCCTGTCCCTTCCAACTCTCCTTGCCGTTCTCTCCATCTCACAGCTGTTGGAGCTGGGAAAGAACTCCAGAAATGATTTAATGAAAACACCTCATTTTGTAGATGGAGAAGGTCAGGCCCAGAAAAAGCAAGCAGTTTGCCCAGATCACACAGCCAAGTGACAGAGCCTGGACGAGACTCAGGGCTCCAAACCACCCAGCCAGAGCTCCCTCCTGAGCCCCTGTGCTGCCTCCATCCTCTTTTGTCTGCCAGCGGGCTACCCACACCTCTGAGAATCACCCATCGCCCAGAGCTGAGAGAGGACAAGAGACAAGGGAAGCATACGGCAGGACTCTGCCCTGAGTCTGAGAGGAACAGAAGTGGACATGGAGCCTTGCTTCCCTCCTTTCTCTCCCCTCTCCTGTGCCCCTCTGGGCCTGGAGTAGTCCTATTCTCATTCATGCTGGGGACAGAGGCAGTCTCAAGAACTGGGAAGAAAGGGTTTCCCTGATTGCTTTATAATTACAGCTCAGACAATAATGGAACTGGTGGGGATTGATGGGGAGAGTGTGATGCTCGGCTTCGTCCCCATCCAGTTCCCAGCATAGCCCTGGGCCTCCTGACACAGCAGTCTTCCCAGCCTCCCACCAGTCAGCCTCTGTGCTGCAGATGCAACCCTGGTGCGGCCCAGGCATGAGACAGGCAAGGTCCCAGCTACCCCGACAGCCATCTCTGGAGCCCAGGGGTGGGCCCTTGTTACCGTCACAACCCCAGGGTCTTCGGAAGAGCCGGGGGCTGCAGGGCACTGGTGCCCACAGAGATGGACCTGCCGAGGCACCCAATAGGTGTTTGTCTCAGAAGACATTGTTTGAGGGAAGCAGCACCTGGGGCAGGTGGCTGTGGGGAGCAGCAACTAACCCCAGGGACACTTGTGGTCCCAGCTCCCAAGGGAAAGTACCACCCAGGTGGCCAAAGCATGTGGGTCCAACTTGTGGTCTCCCTTCCTGCCAGTGCTTGGAGGCCTTCCATGGACACACCTGGTCCCTTCTCCCTCCTTTCCTTTCTCACCCTTACCCTCCTGTCTCCTCCTTCTCTCTTCTCAGCCATTTCTCCCTTCCTTTCTCATTTGCAAGATCCCCTTCCTGGAAAGCCTGGCCACTTGGCTCCTAAAGCTCCCTGGCCCAGCAGGGTGGAGAGGAGGAGGGAAGAGAATTGTCCCTCCACAGTGGACCAGCGGCCAGCTCACTTAGGGACTTTTACTAGGACAGAGGGGCTGCTCCCATGATGTCATCTGGCCCCTGGTGGGGAGCAGAGTGAGGAAGAACAGTGAGAACAGAGGGGCCTGGGTATCCCTGCCACATCAGAGAAAAGAACGTGGTTGTTTGGCACCCTCTTCCCTCTTTACCACTGTGCCTCCTCCTGGCATGCTCACCTCTTCCAGGAAGACTTCTGTGGCTGTCCTTCCAGCTCTCTCTGGGTTTCCAGGGACTGAGAGTTCTTCTTCCTTTCCTCCATCCCCTAAGCCCAGGATGGTACTGTCAGGAGCCTGGCTCTTCTGCCAGCCTCAGTGGTGAGCTCCTCTGCCCGGAAGCCCCTCTGTGCACTGAGAAAACCCTCAAATCTGAAGCCTCCAGTGGGTTTCCACTGCAGCCTGAGTGTGAGCACCAGAGTGCTTGGGGTTACAGGCTCCCAGCCACTCCTGGGCCCTTCTCTCCCTGGAGACTCTGGGGTGGGCTGGCCAGAAGGTCTGAGCATGGCACAAGGTATTCAGCATATCCCCAGGCCCTCACCCCACTGTCGTTCTCACTGTGTTCATTGTTAGCTAAGCCCTGCCTCCCTGAGGCCCAGGCTCCTGCACTGCACCCCTGTGTCCCAGACAGGGTGACGGAAGTTGGGGAGATTCAAAGGAGAGCAGGAAGATGACCATGCACTCATGCACTCATCAGAGGAGAAAAGTGCATTCAGAAGAACTGCATCCTATTCCTCTGGGGACCCTCAGGGAAACAATCATTCAATGCAAGAGAAGTGATGGATCAATGGTTTATTCCAAAGGGGAAAGCCCAAGCTGGATGTCGCCCTCCCCAACCCCTGCAAGCTGGCCCATCCTCCCAGAGCCCCCATAGGCCTGGGGCTGTTGAGACAAGAGATGTCCCTACCACGCGCTCCTCATTTTGTCTCCTCTCTAAGCCCTGGGATCCTGATATGACACATGGGGGGTAATCAGAAGGATGAGGCAGTCTCTGACGGGGCAGTGGCTGAGACACCCTTTGCAGCCAGCCCAGCAATGTTCTCCATCTCCAGAGAGAATGCCAAATTATAAACTTTGTGAAACTCTGAGGGCAAATGGTATAGTAGCTGGTGAATGGTGGCTGAGCTTGTAGCTATTTTCATGCGTAGATTATATCATGTCAGGGGAATTCTTTATCCCAGCAGAGGGAAGAGAGGAATATCCTGGCTAGGGTCATCCTGTCAGTCAGGAGAGACCACCTTCCAGGGACCAGAGACTCAAAGTGGATGTGGCAGAGACCCACTGCCTCTGTAAGGCAATGTCAAGACACTGAGAGGTTTCCCTCTGCAGTGACCAAGAGCTGCAGGTGGTGCCGTGCTGGACACTGATAGCTAGGAGCAGAGAAGGCACATACGACCAGTCCTCTGGGAAGCAGAAGGCGGGCCATGTGAATGGGAGATGAGTGGCTGTGCTGTCCAGGCACCTGCGGACAACACTGAGGGAAGGGGCCTTGGAGAGAAGGGTCACTAGGCCTGGAAACAGCAGGATGTGGGCAGGAGAGGCAGGCTGCCAGCCCCCAGATCCAGCCCCAGAGGAGGAGGGCGGTGGCTTAAGGGAGGGCCCACCTTTCTCACCCTTGTGCTGGGTTGGCCTCTGAGCACAGGAACGATGGTGGACCATCTGAGGTCATAAGGCAGGAAAGGAATCTGAATGGCGTGTGGCCAGTGGGGAAGCTGGAGAGGCCAGGATCGCCCCGAGAGGCTGCAGAGGGCTGCAAAGGGCAGGTGCAGGACCAGGCTCCCTCCCACCCAAACTAGCACGGTAGCTTAGAAGGCAAGAGCAGCAGGGTCAGAAGGAAGAGCAGGGGTGTGGTGCCGCGTTCCTTCTGCCGGGAGCTCACGGGGCTTCGTTGGATCCAATCCCGTTGCCTTTGTTGACGTAGAACGGCCGGTAGTGAGACTGTGGGGGAAACAAGAGTGGTCAGAGAAGCTAGACAACAGATGAGCCTGCTAGCTAGACCCACCCTGCCCTAACCTGCTCCCAGGAAGCATCAGTGATCCAAGCCCCAACAATTCTAGAGGCCTCCTGGCCTGACCTGCAAGACCTACCCACCCTGGGATCAGAGGCTGGTCCCTAATGTCAGGATTTTCAGATTCAAATCCTAATTAGAGTCCATTCCCATAGTTAGTGGGTGGGCTTGAACCTCAGCCCCCAGCACACTGGTGGAACTTTCTCTCCACAGCCCAAGAGGTCCCTCCAGCGCCCCTACAGCTGCTATTTATACAGCACTTTCTACTCCACAGAACTTCACAGCACGGAGCCGAGGGCTGTATGTGATGCACTCATTTAATTTTTACAACCACCCAATTAAATAGATTACTATTATCATATTCATTTTATAGTTGAGCAAACCAAGGCACAGAGAGGCTAGGCAACTTGCCCAAGGTCACTCAGCTGGTAAGCAAGGAGCTGGAATCCAAGCCCCAGCAGGCTGCCTCCAAAACCCACACCCCCAGCTCCCAGTTCTTGGCATCGCTTCTCTTATGGCAAGGGCATCCAGGGTTTTCTTTGGCTCTTTCCACATAAATCTCCCTTACAGGGGGTGTGCAGAGAGGGCAGGCAACTGCCCCAGCCCAACATGGTCCCAGGCTCCCCCCAGCCCTCTGCCTCCCTCATCCTGTTCCTCCTCCTCTAGCCATTGGTATTCAGGGAGCATCTCTAGAGAGAGAGCCCAGTGACAGCTCTCCTAGCCTTCTCCGTATATCACATCTCTCAATAATTTCTTGAAATCGGCATGCCCCACCTCTCCCAGATCACTTCATCAGGGCCGTGAGGAGGCAGCCCTCCAGGATGGAGTGGAAGAGCACGGCTTAGCTGCTGCTCACCCATGCAAACACTGTCAGCCCCCAGAGGGTCTCAGGAAGAGGGTTTGTCCCTGAGCTGGGTCAGAAGCTGAGCCCACCCACATGCCCCATGGATCCCAATACAGGAGACACCATCTACCCCTCATACACACACCCCAAGGGTGCATTGCCCTTGGCCCTCTCTGCCGGGGAACTGGCACCTCCTGGTCAGTTCCTTGCCTATGTCTGGTCCACAGCAGGACTCATGGGCCTGTGGGATGCTCAGTCCTTGTTTAGAGCACCTATTAAACAAAGGAAGAAACTGAGCCCAGGGAGGGGAAAGAATAGCTATGCAATGGCAGAGCAGAGCCTGGATCCAGGTCTCCTGATCCCCGGGGGTCAGCCTGGACCCCAAGCAGTTCATAGGGCAAAGTTAATAGATTTGGAAATGGCCGAAGCCTTTCTTTGAGGAAGACCAGGTCAATAATATGGATTGCAGGTCGATAAATGGCATTGTCTGGTTAAAAGCCCGGTGTAGGTGGGCAGGAACACAGCCCTATGGCATCGGGGCAGAGTGCTCCCCCAACCCTCCCTTCCCCTCCCTAGCTTGAGGTCACAGCACATGTGGCAGTTGGAAGAGCTAGGAAATCATCCTAATTACAGATGGGGAAACTGAGGCACAAAGGAATCATTCTTCCTCATGCAAGGTCACACAGCAAGTGAATGGACGACTTGGGTGAGCCCCCAGGGAAACTGACTCTCAGCTCAGCCTCTCTGCACCCCAGCACCCGCCTCCACTCTCCTAGTTCTGGGTGCTTGCTGGACACCAGAACCCTGCCCTGCTGGGGGCCTCAAAGTGCTGATGAGTCTTCTCTTCAGGGCCCTAGGCTCTGAGAGAATGGGAAAAGTATGTGGTAGGGAGGGTAAGGACTGTCTAGAACAGAAACCTTCCCTTTCCTCCCCATATCTGCTTTTTGCAGTCCTGCTGTTGCAATGCCTCTGGGCTCGGCTCCAAATTACACACACGATCACTTAGCTCCCATCGCCAGTGATTAAAGATTCTCCCCAATTAAATCAGCCCCAGCCACTCTTTGTGGTCCAGGGCAAATCACCTCCCCTGGTCTGACCTCCAACTGAAAGGACAGCAAAGCCAAGGGCTCCAGCCCTGGTTCCAGCAGAGCTCCTGATGCCACCCACATGCCACGGCATCTGGCTGACTGCCTTCAGGAGCAAGCATTCAGGCACATGGGGGCTCTGCCTGTGAACCACAGTCCCTGGTCACTGAGGTCTCAGTCAGGATCAGGTACATCAGATCTAACGGGCATTGGGGATCATCTCAGTCACCACATTATAAAAAGCAAAAAATAGTCTCAGAAAGGGTATCTAACTTATCCAGGACCCTACCGTCTGCAGATGGCCTGGACCCCAAAGCCATACTTCCCTGTCATGCTGCTCTTCTGATATTCCTGGCCTAGGGCCATTAGATATTGACCCTAAATATATCTATTCCCAACTTTCCAGGCCCCCTCCACCCTGACACTATCACACCAATGGCCTCTTGCTGTCAGAAGTGGAGAACTGCCCCCAGGGAGGTGGGACCCATCTCTAGGAGGCCCGTCCTCCTGCTGGGCTGTTTTACAATCCCAGAGCCGGCAGAACCCAAGCTGTCATTCCACTAGCATAGGCATCCAACAAATATTTGCCAAATAAAAGATCAAGGCTTCCCACTTTATAGATCAGAAAACTGAGGTCCGGACAGTGTGTGCTTGGCCAGTCACCTGCCCGTTAGCCCTGGGTCCTTATTACTTTCTGCTGTGTGCAGGTATTCAGGCCACTGCCCCCTTCTTCTCCTCTACATGTTGGCCCAGAGAAGTCATCACCCTCCCAAAGGCCCTGGAACCTGTTCTCCCTGAGGAGCCCCCTTCAGTGCCCAGGTCTCTGGACCTGCCTGGGCTCTCCCGGCAGCACTTTCCTTACCAGCATGGTCTGCTTGCCAGATTTCCAAGTCTGGGGCTGAGCCTTGGGGCTCTGGCTCCGCATGAGGGAGGGGTAGCCTGGGAAGACAAGAGACTCAGGTCAAAGGGAGCAGGGCTGCTGGTCAGGGGCCCCTGGGGCCAAGCAGCACAGCTGCCTTCTCCAAAGTGACCACCAAGCATCATCCAGCCCATTACCAAATGCAGCCGCCAGAAGAGGCGTGCAGCAGCCAGGGTGCCTGGGGAGGCTGGCCGAAGGGAGGAAGCAGCAAAGCAGACAGAAGGAGGAGGGGCCAGCCAGGTAGGCTAGGCCAGGCAGCAGGGGAGTGTTGCCCCCACATCCAGTTCAGCATTACGCTGTTCTGCAGGGATTTCCACCCACCCCAGAGGTTCACACCACAGGCCCTTCCCTTCCCGGAGCCCAGGAGAGCCACACATAACCATGGCCTGCTAGAGTTTCCTGGCAGAAGGCGCTCACTTGGACTCCCCTGTGCTGTTTGAATGATGCTTCCCATTCACTGAGCCCCACCTGTGCCAAGCACTGCAGGAGGAACTTTGCAGATGTCTTCTCATTGAGCCTGGCCCCCATTTCTATGAGCTCAGCAGTCTGCCTGAGTTGCACAGCTTATAAGCAGCAGTCAGGATTTGAAACCAGGTGCTGCCGGACTCCAAAACTCATATTCGTGTTTTTCCCCCCAGCTCTGCGGCCTCACCCCTGTTTCACTAGCCAGAGACTAGGGCCTAGAGAGGGGCAGGAATTTATTCGTGCAGCCACCCAGGGTTAGGACGGCAAGCCTTAGAAGCCCGGAGCAGGTGTGCTCTCTGAACTTGGTTGCAAAGGTGCTAGTGTAGGGCAGTGCCGCCCGGACTCCCGCAGCCTCAGCCCAGACAGACCAGTAAGGAGCTCTGGTTCACAGACAGTGAAGGCCCTCTCAGTGTCAGCCATCAGCCTGCAGGGACAGGCAGTGTGCTTGGGAAGACACAGGCCATGACCTGGATACTGAGGCCCTCAAGAAATAATCAGGGTCTGTCCTGGGCCCGATCTGTCCAGAGAGAGGCTGCAGCCTGCCTTGAGGAAGCCCCTGTCCTGCCTTACTCTAAGCAAGGATGAGCAGATCAGGCTCATGATGAGCACTGCCAGGCTGCCAACTGGGCTGGACCTTCCCAGGTTGGCACTCAGCAAGGAGGAGTGGGAGGAGACAGAGCAAAGAACTTGGGTCTCTTCCTGCATCTGGGGGTGGGGGCAGCCTTGGAAAGAGGGGAGTCCAGGGGTCCTGAGTGGAGATCAAGAGGAGAATTCAGGTCTCACCTGTCAGTTCCAAGAAAGAAAATCCCATGCCAGCCATGAGAGAAGGGAGAATGGCAACAGGGGTGGGGTCAGGGTGGCCCAAGAGACCCGCCTTGTGAAGCAGGCAGAAGTCCAGATAGAGAGTGTGCTAGGATGGCAGGTGGGGCCATGCATCCCTCTCCAGGGAGCTCTGGGGACAAGGGACCAGCACACCCTAGAAGTGGCAGAGAGCCCCCAAGGATGTCCCACCTGCCCCGCTGTGGGAGAGAATAGGGGAGGGATGGGAAATGGGCAGGTACCAGGATTATTTTTAGACAGCCCACTGCGACCCAGTGGTTTGGAAAACTCTGCAGTGGCCTGTCCCAAGCTGGTGAACTGATAAGGGGTTTTCCCAGTGCCTGCTGGGAGAGAGAGAGGCATTAGTGGTACGGTGCTGGTCCCAGGAGGTGCCAGAAGGACCCACACCTCACTCTGGGGGTTGCTCTGAATCATGCCTGAGGGCGGCCACCTCCCCTGCCAGGTGCTCTGTGGTCCAGGCTTGACGAGAGAGCAGAGAGGCACCTGCCAGGAGCCAAACAAGCCAAGGCAAGTCCTGGAGCTCCCCAGGCCCAGATCAGGGCTAGGACATGCCCAGGGTCCTGCAGACTGGGAACCTCCACTCATATTCCTGTCTGTTTCACCTGCTGGCAGCTCCGAGAATCCCTGCCCTGGGCATAGTCTAGGACCCTGGGCTGGAAGGGACAGATGAGTGACGAGGCCTCAGAGGTCACTGCTCAGGGGTCTCTCTGCCCTGCATAGCCCTTCCTTCTCCAGAGCCAACCCAATTTGCTGATCTTGATTTCCAGGCCTGATGTTTGGGATGCCAGAAGAGAGACAGGGTTCCTCCCACCATAGCCATTAGCGCTGTCTCTGAGATCTTTCAGGAGGTACATGAGGACCTGGGCCCATATCTGGGGTCTGGTTCAAGCCTGCCCCTTTGGGATTCCCCCAGCCCCAGGAGACAGGAGGCATCAACCACTCTGCCTTGTCAGAGTGCTGGGGAGCACCGTAGGCAGGCAGGGAACAGGTTGCAGGAAAGGAGGAGCAGTCTTGGGGGCTTTAGAGGTGGTCTGGTCCTGCCTTTCCCAAAGGGCCACCTGCAGGATTGGCTCTGCGGGATGCTGGCGGGTGCTCCAGGCCCACAGGACCCTATAGCCAACCAACGCTGGGAATTCAATAAACTCTGCAGCAGAAGCAGCACACTTAGGATCAGAGAGGTCGGGGTGCAGGGGGTGTGGTGTGTCCCCCTGTCCTGACCACTGAGAGCCGCTGTTGCAGCCTGTCGTTAGAGACTAGTGTGCAGTAAAACAAGCCCTGGGAAGCACTGATGTGGCCCAGCCCCCACCCTGCCTTCGGTTCCAGCAAAGACCATGGTGGCAGCTCCCCAGGCTCTTGGGCCAGAGCTCTCTCCTCCAGAAGGTGAGGGAGGAACTAGTGGCTCAGGGAAGAGACCAAAGCAGAGCTTGGGAGGTGCGGTCAGCTGCGAGGGAAAGCAGGGGGCCAGGTTGGGCAAGCTTACCTTTCAGAGAGAAGGAGGAGCTGCCTTGGACGACAGGCAGGTCATTGTCAGAGCTCTGAATGCTGGAGGAGTACTCCCAGACCCGGGAAGTGTAGTTACCTGGCAAGGCAAAGGGCTGTCAGGCCCCCACAACTGGGCATGGGAGAGGAGGCACGACCAGGACACAGCCAGGTCAGTGACTCTCCAGCTGCTGGCCACGACTTAAGCCAAGATGCCACTCTGTGATCCCAGTGATGCCTCACCCCTGTCCTTCTGCCCCAAAGTTACCTTTCTAAAATATAAAACATAGACAGTTCCCTGCCCTACCTAAAGGCCACTGTCCTCAGAATAAGATGCAAAGTCCCAAGCGCAGCCCACAACTCTGTCATGAGCTGCTCCCCACAACCCCTGCCACCCACCCACCATCTCCCACTTCTTGGCTTCATGTCTGCTCTCCCTCCACCACAGAGCATTCCAACCAGGCTGAGCATTATTGTCTGAGACACTCCAGTTTCTCTCCTGCCCCAGGCTGTGTGCCCATACCCTGTCCTCTGCCTAGGACCCTCCTGCTGTTCCCCACCCTCGGTGATTCATGTGTGGGGTCTTCAAGTGTCAGTTTACATGGCACCTTCCCAGTGTCTCCATGTGCCTCAGCCCCCTCCCCACATCGTGCTGCGCCCGCTACCCTCTGGGTTGCCATTGCTTGTTCAATTGTTTGCCTCCCGCAGAGAGCTCACACAAACCGGGAATGTGCCTGTCTGGCCCCTGCATCACACCCGGAGCCTGGCACAGAGCCTGGTTCCCAGAAGGTGCTCATTGTATGGTTGATGGATAGAATGCATGAACCAATGAACAAATAAATACAAACACCTAAAATTTGGGGACAGAGGCAGCTGATAATTGCCAAGTTGAGTAGACTAACACATGCCTATGTGCAGGCATGTCCCGTAGTCCAAAGAAGGCAGTGAGGAGGGGGTGGGAGGAGCAGCCAGGGCACTCAGAGGGCATCGGAGTGGGGGCTCAGAGCCCCTGTGGGTGACGCACCCTTCTCCAGCACCACACCCCCACCCACCAGGCCTGAAGCATCAGTGGCCTCCTTAGTCAAGCTCACCCGTCAGCTGTCTGTGGGGAGGGCTGGGGTTGACTTTTGGCCTCAGGGCTCAGAGATGGCTGGGGCTGGCCACTGGCCCCAGTGCAAAGCCCCCCCACAGGGATCACAGGCAGCCTCTGTAGCAAGGCCTCCATGAGCATGCCCACCCAGGGCTCCGCGAGGCCAGACACCTTGTCCTTCTGTTCACTGGTGCCTTTCATCTCTCTCAACAGCTGCTTCCTGGCCTGACCTCTTCCTACTTTTGAGTCCTGGGGCTGTAGCATTGATTAGGACAAATAAGCTTTGTCCTCAAGGTGCTCACGGTCTACTGCATATGTGGAAGAGGAGGTACCCCTGGTCCTGGCTGTGAATCCAGTCCTGGTCATAGAGGCCCAGGCATTGCTCTGTCCTCCAGGTGCCCCTGACCCTCCTGTCTCCACAGGTCTTGTCCTCACTGAAGAATCCTCCAGTGCTATGTCCGGGCCTGGGGCTGACCTGGTCCTCTCCCTCCCCATGCATGGCTGGCATGTAACCAGGAGCCCCCAGGACAGAACCAGGGCCTCTCAGAACCACGTCTCATTGAGTGCATGGCCCTGCTCTTGGGCAAATGGTCCCCTCAGAGCACTGGGCAGAGGGAGACCCTGAACTGAGCAGTTTCCCCTGGGACAGGCACGTCCCCACCCCCATTTCACCTCTCCTGGGTCTTGAGGTGCTGCTTGATCACCTCCCTGCCTGGAGCTCCAGGGCCAGCCCCATTTCCTGCCATGCCTTCTTTTCTAGTCACAGCCAAACTAACTTGTTTTAGCCACTGTACAACTTTTCACTGCAGAAGTACACAAATCAGTAGAGATTTTCTGTGGGTCCTCGTGCCCTGATACTTGCTGTGAGCGGGGTGGGGGGTCCCCACACTTATGCCCAAGGTGGCTACTCAGCCTCAGTTTTCCCCAGATTCTTCCTCAGGGATCAAAAGAGCACAGGCACTTCAGGGACACCAGCCTAAGTAATGGTGTATCCCACGAATGTATCCACACACAATTCAAACTCCATAGGTAGGACCTCTCCCTACCCATGTCTGGGCCCCCCACCCATCCCAGCTCACATTGTGGACCCAGCCCCATGCCCCATGGCCCCACTTCTATGCCCCTCCTGCCTGCACAGCCCCATGTGAACCCTGTGCAGCCTCAAGCTGAGCCACCACCTACCTTTGGTGCCATAGAGATTGTTGAAATTCTTCTGGGTGGTCTCCTTGGTGAAGCGGCCGGGAGACGAGGGCTGGTAAGATGTCCGGGCCCCACCTGCGAAGCAGATGAAGGGAGCTGTCATTGTAGAAAAGGGTGTCATGCAGCACTCCTTGCCCCCAAAAGTTGCTCAAGTGCCCACCACAAGACCTGGATTCCACCACTGAGAGAGGTCCTTTGGGTCTGACATAAGGTAATCAACTAATTTATCACCCAAATCAGCATGCTTTTGAGAGTAGAAGGGCTCTGTTAGCCATGCAGAGAGCATCAGCATACACCTGGAGAGCCCATGGCCACCGCTGGGGCAGAGGTGGCAGGCTCTCAGCCCCATGAGGATGGAGCCTCCTGGAGTTGGCCTGATGCACCAAGAACACCTCCCAGGGGCCTACACAGGCACTGCTTCCCGGGAGATCAGAGCCTCACTTCACAAGTGTTTTCCTTCCCACACACCTGGGCTCTCACAACAGCCTCGTGAGGAAGCAGTGGTGACTGACACCCCCACTGTACAACTGAAATCAGTGAGCTCCCCTGTGTATTCCAGTCCTCTGTTACCTCTGTCCCTCCCCACCTGACCTTCAGAAGACACCACACCCCCAGTTCCAGCCCCGCCCGTCCCGCCTGTAAGCCTTTGTGCCGGTGGTCCCTGATGCCCTCTGCCCATCACAGTCATGTCCCCTCTACTGAGCACAGGTTGCTGGAAACTCACCCCTCCCGGGAAGGAATCACAGCCACTGTCAATCCCGCTAACCTCAAAGCTCCCAGACTCAGGATCCAGTCCCTTTAGCAGCCTTGTTCCTTTCATCTCCTTGGTGACTCCTTGGTACCCTCCCCCGACCTCCACCCTGAGCCTGGGAGCTCCCAGAGGACAGATTTCCTGTCCCTCCTGTCCTCGGCACAGGGTTCTACCCACAGTGCTTGGGCAGGAATGCCGGGGAAACCGGTTTCTTCCATCACAGACATCATAGACTGACTCACAGTGACAGAGCTGGGAAGTCTCCCAGCATGTGAACACAACCTCCCCTCTTCTCAGATATGGGTACTGAGGCCTGCCCAAGGTCCCCTAGGCCCTAGGCCCTCAGGGTGGCATCATAGCAGGTGGTGCTGGTCCCTCCACACCCCCCCCCCACAGCCTGCAGGAGGCTCATGCCAGGCCCTGGGTCTCCTACAGAGCAGGAGAGACACAGGAACCTGTCAGGGCACTCGATGGCACCCCAGGGCCTGGCCAACGGATGGAAGGGAGAGACAGGAGGGACAGAGCCAGGGTAAGGCGGGTCAGGGGTTCTGAGGAAAGGGGTGCTGGGGCCAGCTGGTTAGAACAGATCATCCTCTCCTAGAACTTGGCCCAAAGGCACAGCACCCTGGGCAGGGAGGGGCAGGCTGGCCGGCTGGGGCCTGGCCCACACCAGGAATGTCAGAGGAGAGAGAGCCCAACACCAAGAAGCCTAGGGGCTGTTTTCAAATTGGGTGAGGCGGCACAGGTGCTTCTCTGCTGAGCTCATCTCATCTCTAAATCCCCCAAGCCTGTGTGTGTGTGTGTGTGTGTGTGTGTGTGTGTGTGTAAAGATATGTGTGAATTACTGATTAGCTCCAGGAGGCTTACCCATGCCTCCCTCCTCCCCCAGCTTCCCTCTCCTACACCCACAGACACACACACCCGTGGCCAGAGGCCTGGCATATCCGCCCTTCTGGAACGGGCAATGTTGTGGTTTGTTGCTGGCACTCAAGAATGTGAGCGGCCACCACAGGGCAAGGACAGGCAGGCACTAGTCTGTGCTAAGGCCAGCGCCTTGCAGGCTGGGACTGACCAGGGCCGGGGAAGGAGGCTGAGGAGGCAGGGTGCAGAGCCAGGAAACTCAGAAGAGGAGGCACCACTCTTCCTGCCTAGAGGAGCAGAATGGTCCTGGGGGCAGCAACCATCCCACAGGGCTGAGCCCCTACAAAACCCTGAGCCAAAGCAAAACGCAGCTCCAGCCTGGCAGAAGGGAGCCCAGGACACTTTCAGAAGGAAAGAGAAGCAAGGGTGTGGACTGGAGGCTAGAGGGCAAGGAGGGCGAAGAGGGGCTGCCTGTGTTTCCGGGTAGGAATGCCTGTGAGGAAGGAGCTGGCACCAAGTAACTTCTCATTCGAACCAAGACGCTTCTGAGAGTGAACGCAGATGCCATTCCTAATGACATCAGGACAACATGTAGATGCCAGGACTTTCCCAGGCAAACTGGACAGACCATCAGCCCTACCCAGAAGGAACCTGGCTAAGAGTCACTGCACAGACTCTGGGGGCCTCTGGGCAGCAGGAGAGACACTAGATCTGGGGCAAGGGGGCTCTCCCTTACCCTTGGGCGTCAGGTACATGGAGTATCTCTTCATCGTGTCTGGTGCACTCCACTCACCCCCGAAGCTGTTGGTGTAGTTATTCATGTAGCGATGGTCACCACCTAGGAAGGAGAGTGTCAGGTCAGCAGAGGGAGTAGGTGGGAAGGAGGAGCTGGCCCACTAGGGAGTTTTGCGGCTCAGTTGAGTCAGCCCATAGTCCATCCACTATGTCCCAGGGAGAGCCAAGGTTCTGCAACCTCAGAGAACATGGCGCTCTGCCCAGCATTCGCTTGGTTCCTGAGCTCTTGGTGGAGGAGCTCTGGGTGGCCTGCAAAGAGCCACCCACCCTCTTGGACCGAGCCCTTGTGAATAAGATCGTGTGCACAGCACTTCATAGCACTTCACCTTTACAAGGTGCTATTAATAGCCATTTCTTATGTGATCTGTACACCAGCTGTGGTTATCTCCCTTGAGACACATAAGGAAATTGAGACTCAGGAAGTGAGAGAAGCAGCTTGCCCAATGTCACATGCCACTAGGGGCAGAGTTGGGGTTTGAGCCCTGGCCCACTACTTCTGGGTTCAGTCCCAGACACTGCTGGCAGCCTAAGGTGATAGGATGATGACCCAATGTTGGCCTCCACAGCCCAGGGATCTGGGCAGTGGAGTGAGCTGCTATGGCCGGGGGAACTCACCTGCAGACCCCCTAACTCAGACAGATCTGCTGCTTGATGCTTGGCTTCCCTCAGCCACCCTCCACCCCATTCCTTTCTCTTGTGACTTCCCTGTGTCCTCCTTTCCCTGTCCTTCCCTCTCTCTCTCCTGAGCAAGCGAAGGAATGTGCCTGAGACCCTCATTTTTCATCTTCATTACCTGCACCTGGCAGTGTCCTGGCACACAGCAGATACTCAAAGAATAAGCAAATGCCCTCCTAGGTGTTGGCCCAGCCCTGAGCCCCACAGAGCCCAGGATGAAGTGGTCTGTGCCTCTTAGCACGGGGCCTTTGAGAGTGTGAATGAGTCCCTGGTCTGGTGGGCAGGCTGGCATCAGGGAGGAGTGGACGGTCACTCCACTGTCTGACTCACCTGCCACTGCCTCCTAGAGCAGACACACTCCCAGCATCCACGCAGCAGCCACACAAAACAACACAGAGGCAGAGGAGCCTCCCCCATGGCCCCAGGCACAGGTGTGGGCCACTGAATCAGTAGAGCCCATCCCTGCTCCTGCTTGCCAACTCGCCACACACCTCGTACAGGACGCAGGGCCACACCTGTACAGAGGCCTTGGCCAGTGTTGTGACCTAGAAATGGGACAGTGAGCAGACAGGAGGCTGAACAGTTTCTGCAAGACTCACCCCAGCCCAGTCTGGGCCAGCTCCCCCAGGCCTGGCCAGACCTCACCGGAGGGGCTCCCAGGGCCGATGATTATCACATTCTTCTACCCCACTGCTGCAGCCACCGGCAGCCACAGCTTCTTAGATGAGAGGGCATGGGAGACTGAATAACAGAGTGTTCAACCCCACGGTACCCCCTACCGAGCTGTGCGCCCTTTGAAAAGATGCTTCTCTGAGCCTCAGCCTTCTCCTCCGTAAAATGCAGTATACCCCGCAGGGAAAATAAGGTAATGTGCCTGAGGAGCTCGGTGAAATGCCCAGCATCTAGGGAGCAATCAGTCATCGCCGGCTGTCACCATCACCATTAGCATCATCACTACTGTCATTAGAAGGAGGATTTCAGGATCTGAGTGTCGTTTGAAGCCAAATGATTGTCTTCCTGAAATGGCTTGCTTATCTATCCTTGGGTGTGATTGAATGTACCCCAATTTTCACAGGGACACTGTGTGATATCACCATCACCAAGGTGCACAGATGGTCTCCTGAACCCCAACCCTTCTGCACACTCCTACTCTCCTCTTCCCCCAGAGAATCATATGCTCTGTCTGGAGAGCAATCAGGGGTCCTTTCCTTTGGGGCATTCGCATCTAGCAGTCATCAATAAGGCTGGACTCTCAAGGCCCCGAGCCATGCCTGGGCCACTGGGTGGGGCATCGGGGAAAGTGTGCTCAGGCTTTGGGCCCTGAAGGGACTGGGTGCAAAAGGACTTAACGATGTTGTTTCTCAGGTTCAGAGGTTTTTTGTGAGATGATTCAGTTCACCTCTGAGGGGACAGCATGACTCATAAGAAAAGCTGACTTCAGGGGAGCTGGTGAGTCACAGAGACTCTGTGTCTTACTGTCCCCAATCCAGCCCACCAGGCCAAGTCCCGCCTCTGGGCTCAGCACTGCTCAGCACAGCCATGATGACAGTCCAGTCCCCCATCCAGGCATGGCTGCATTTCTAGGTCACATCTGCTAGAGTCTGCAAAGCCACCAGTTTGGAGTCTGGCCCATACCAGTGGCTGCATCCACACAGCTGCTGGACTGGGCCTGGCAATTAGATGTAGATCAGAACGAAACCAGTCCCTTAGTCTGATGGACAACCCACAGAGAGGAGGCATTTGTGCTGCCAGTACCCAGGATGTTCCTGCTCTGGAAGCCCCTTGCAATAGCTTCATAACTTTGGCAGCAAGTTCAAAGGGGAGGAGAGTTAGAATCCCTGCATCCTAGTCCAAACAGCCTGAGGAAGTGTGGGTGAGTGGGAACAACGAGAAGAAGCTCACTGGATACCAGCCCACATCAGGCAGCAGGAAGTGATTTGGGAGAGAAAGGTCCACGGCCCTGGGGCCCAGCCACGAGGGGACCTACCGTTCTCCATGTGGTTCCTCTCAATGAAGTTACGGCTCAGGTCCGCCTTGCACATCTTCTCAACGTGGCGCATGCATACATTGAGTAGGTCATCCTTGAAGTTGCCTAGCGACTGTCCCAGGCCCTCCCCCTCCAGCAGGACATGATAGGTGGGCAGGGGTGGGGGTAGAGAGTAATTGCTCATCAATGCACCAAATTCCTACCAAGAAAGGAAAGAATGCCATGAGCTATGAGGACTCTTCTCTGCCAGGGGCTCTCACAGTGCAGTTGGGGGTCTCAGCGATGCAAGCTCCACTCTTCCTCGCTGGACATTTGTTTCTTCTGAAAGGCGAAAAGGTTCAACTAAAACCCACTAGATGCTAACATCCCTGATGGCACTAGCATTCAGATGTGTGCCTCCACAACTCTCTAAAGCGCGTGCATCTGTTTACCTCATAGGGCTTATGAGAGGAACACAAGCTGTGAAGACCAGGAGTCAATGCACTAAAGAAATGCAAGGAATTACTATAGTGTTCGGGGTCAGCCACAGTGGATTTTTTTTTTTTTTTTTTTTTTGAGGTGGAGTCTTGCTCTGTCACCCAGGCTGGAGTGTAGTGGCACTATCTCGGCTTACTGCAACCTCCGTCTCCCAGGTTCAAGTGATTCTCCTGCCTCAGCCTCCCATATTGCTGGGATTACAGGTGTGTGCCACCATGCCCAGCTAATTTTTTGTATTTTTAATAGAGATAGGCCAGGCTGGCCTCAAACTCTTGATCTCAGGTGATCTGCCTGCCTTGGCCTCCCAGAGTGCTGGGATTACAGGCATGAGCTACCATGCCCAGCCCACAGTGGTATTTCCACCTTTACATGCCATGCTCAGTCCTGCTTTTGGACTTCTCGTTTCCCTTCCCCCTCACTGAAGACTCTATCCTTCCTCTCAAATCCTAACCTGCCTCCAAGACCCAGTTCAAACTCCACCTCCTCCACAAAGCTGTCTTAGCTTCCTCTATCCTGCCTGCCCCTCTCTGAGCTTCCACAGGCACTTATCTCCTGAGCCATATGCTTTATCATTTAATTACACACTTTTCTATATTGTTCCCTAATTGTACATGTCTTATCTTCCCAGCTGGATTGCAGTTGCTTGGGGGCAGAAACCATGTCTTGTACCTCTCTATTCGCCATAGCACCTAATAGAGTACTGGGCACGCAGTAGAATCCAAAACACTCTAGCAGATGGAAGGATGAATGGATGAATAGACAAATGGAGTAGATTCAAGATAACAAACACGCCACACTCCTACGCCACTCCCCCTACACCCAATTCGTGGATCTCAGAACTCTTGCCTACTGAGCCTGGAGCACTGCTAGCACCTATCAATTGAAGTTGGTACAAAGTGATGTTTGTGTGCCATCTTGAGAGTAGGTAGGAAAATGGATTGGATTTTAAAGAATTAAATAGAATAAGTTTGGATAGATGGATGGATGGATGGATGGTGGGTTGGAAGGTGGATTAATGGATAGATGAATAGGTGGATAGGTGGATGGATGAATGATGGAGGAGGGTCTCGAAAAGTGGATGGGAGATTGAGGGATTGAGTAGCAGAGGAGTGCCTTGTTACCTGCAGAAACAACACAGAGTCACTGATGCTGTGCAGCTGCTCCCGGGTCTGCTTGTCCTCATGCAGTACCTTGGCCCTTTCATCCAGAGCATCCACGATCACCTTCACCTGGTCCACAGCATCCTGCTCCCGCTGCTCCAGTGCAGCCCTCACTTCCTCCTTTTGCTTCTCCAAGTCCCGCACCAGGTCCCGGAAGTTCTGCTCCAGGATGGCCTTCTCATTGGTGGTGAAGCTCTGGGGGTCCAGCGTCAGGGGAGGGATCAGACAGGACTTTAGTTGAGGAAAGAAATCTCCCGAGTCAAGTATATCTTTAGGTTTCCAGCACAGGATCAGGGCATTAGCACTGCCTCAACCTGGCAAGCCTGTTTAACCAAGAATCTCATTCAAAGGCATCACTGAGGGATGCTACCTGCTGACAGAGATAGCCAGGTTTGTTCACAGCCCACACTTCTTATCCACCTGTGGCTCCTTCTTCTTGGTGGGTTGACATGAGCCATCATTCCATGATTGAATGACTCCTAGTGGGCCCCAAAGTTCTCCCACGGGTCACAATATGCTCCCTGAAACCCTAACCAGAACCAAACATCATTCAGAAAATAAATGGGCTGGCTGTGTGTGTAGTCAGGGTTAAGCAGGCAGTGATTTCAGATTGTGGTTTGCAATTATCCAAACCATGGCAGACATACATTTAGCCACACCGGCATAAGTAGAGAAGGAATGGCATGTATTTGGTGGCTGGGTAGTCTGGTAGGCAGAACAGACATTGGATGACATTGGAAGACACACTGGAGGACAAGTCTGGAGTCTTTATTTGCTGGGATAGTACGAAATGGCCATTTAGGTCACAGACAGGATCCAACCTGGGTACTTGGCTCAGACTGAGAAGGGGAGTGGGTGAGAATGTCAGAGAGATGGGAGAAGCCAGAAGACACACGTGTGGGATGTCGATGTGGGCTTGAGACTCAAATGGGAGCTAAGGCCTGCCTCTTCACAGGCAGGCCAGTTGGGGTGAGGGAGTAGCAAGGTGATGAGCTTGGGGGCTGCTCACCTTGATGCGGTCCTTCTCCTTCTGCCACTTCTCAACTTCATCCTCAATCTCAATGATCTTGAGCTGCAGCTGCTCCTTTTGCAGTGACAGCTCCGTCTGCAGAGGAAGAGCCAGGATTGGAGAAGTCAGTGGGAGGAGATGGAAGAGGACCAGAGAACCAGGGAGCGGGTCCACCCAGGGAGCACATTTGCAGCCAGGGCTCATCACTCATCTATTCAGCTCTTCATTCAGCAAACATTCATCAGGACCTCAGATACGCCAGGCACTGTGCCAGTCGCCAAGGATCCAGCAATGAGTTAAATACCATCTTGCTGTATTCTCCGGCCACTAGGGCTGGACATCCTAGCCATGTCTTTTTAAGGGTGGTGCTTGCCCCTTTCAGTGGACCTGGAGACACTGGGAAGAGAAAGGAAAGGGACTCTGCCCAGCTCAGTGCAGCCCAGCCCAGGGAGTGTCTCGCAGCAGTAACAGTGTGCAGCGTTTCTATGGCATGACGTAGGGCTGTGTTGCAAGCAGCAGCCAGAGTTGCCGCCGGCATGGACTCCGTCTGGGCAAGCACAGCTATAAACCTGTTTATGGGAAAGGGAAGGCATTCTGCAGTTTTGGCAAGACAGGGACTTTTACCCAGGGACTCTGGGGAAAGAGAAGGCTAGAGAGGAAGGCTATGTAGAACGAAAGGAGGGGTTGTAGGGACCCATGCTCAGGGGGAGGATACAGACTGTTGGGGTCTGGAGTGGTTTAGGAAGAGGTTGTACCAGTGTATGCTGGGACATTAGCTTTCATTCCCATACTCACCTTCCATTTGGGGAAATGCCCTTCTCTGAAAAGCAGCCACAATCGAGGCAAAAAAAGAAGCATGAAGCTAAGACCAATCCCATCCAGCCAATCCTCTGTTCTGCTGGGCTGCCCTGTAGGACTCCAAAGCCCCTGCTAGTGTGAACAATAGGTGGTCTCCATCTGACAGACAAAGGCATCCAAGAGACCCTTGAATTGCTCCAGGTCTCCCCACTATCACTGGGTTTTGAATGCAGAGTCCCACTCCTTTCTCTGGCCATCTCCTTGAGGAGCTCAAAAGAATAGTCAAGGTGGGGAAGCCACAAACCACTAGGAATGTGAGTTCCATCAGCCATGAGTCATGAGCACCTGGGCATGTGCATCACCACCCTGCACACCTTCTGAATGCCCCACTGCGCCAAGGGAGTGCTAACAGGGGACCTGCTGCAGGCACTCAGGGAAGCGGATCCGATGGTAGATAGAGCTTCCCTAGCTGTCTTGGAAAAGGTGCCCAGAGGGTGGGGAAGGCATGGGGCAGGAGTTGCAAAACTTCCCAGAGTCTTTGAATCCCTGACCTCCCCGCCCCCACCACCACATTCCTGGGCTTTACAGGCAGTGAGACTCAGAGTTGTTCTCAGTAGCATTTACCCCACCAGCAATGGGCAGGAGATGCCATAGCATAGAAAATACCATCACCAGAGATGGAAAAGAAGACCTGAGAAGATGAGGATGGAGATTTGGCCCAATCTCTGGAAAAAAGGCTGGAAAGAAGCCAGCAGCCACTAAATAAGGTGATGAGAGAGTGGAAAACAGAGAAAACAAGACCCACTGTAATGGCAGAAACTCGACCCTCATACTCTCTGAGGATGCAGCGCCCAAGGGCCCAGGAAACACAGGCTGGCAGATCCAGCAGCCCCAGAGGTCTCCGAGAAGGCTGGACCTGGCAGGTGTATCTGAGCTGTGAGGAGCAGCCCAAGAGGCTGGACTGGGAGTTGGTCCCAGACACCTTTCTCATCTCTGGAGAACTGCTGAGTGAAGCCCGAGTTTGGGGAACAGCTGGAGGCCCCCCACCTCTGGACCCAGCTCAGCATTGGAGGAGTTGGCACCTGGGTTTCTCACCCCATCTTACCAGCCCCGGAACAAGGTCTGATGGAAAAGAAAGTAGAGAACAGAAGCACAATCCCTCCCACCATAGACCAAGGGCCAGCCCTGGTAAAAATCCTGTCTCAAATAGGGGACAGGCAGCACTTCTATGAATTGAGCAATGGAGGGCCCAGGGGGAGGTCACTGGGAACAGGTGGCTCTGAAAGTTGCCTGGCTTCTCTGTGCCTCAGTAGCTCTGTCTGGTCCATGGGGGCAGTAAGAGGACCTGCCCCCCAGAGGAGCTGTGGGACGCACTGGGATTGGGAGTAAAGCTCCCAGAAAGCATTTGGCACAGAGTGAGCAGTGTCTGAGCAATGGTCCCCATCGTCACTGGTGTGTGGGCACCTTCTGTAGACCAGGGGCCAGGCCAGGTGCTTTCCTTCACACCATGCTCAGAGGAGTGTTTGCAGTGTGGTGGGCAGTTGGGCCTTGCATTGGCAAGTGAGGAGCACAGCAGGTGTGATCAGGTGAGGTATTGGAGGTGTTCAGTGGTGAGGATAGGGTACACTGTTGGATTGTGATCCAGATGGAGTGTGTACACTATCCAGACACAGAGTGAAGAGTAGGGAGTGCTTAGAGAGGGTAGGGAGATCAAGACACAGGGCTGAGTGCAAGATGGAAGCCTAGCTCGTGGATAATTGAAGATTGGAGGGCACTGGCGGAAATGAAGGAGGGAAAAAGGGGATGAGGGTGGACTAACCACCTGCAAGTGGAAGGAGGTCTGACCAGGGAAGGTGAAGGCCACGAGTCAAGTCCCTGGAGTGAGCAGAAGTGCAGAAGGAGACCGGGTGAGGGCTGCATGTTTGGGGCTGCAGAGGAGGAAAGGTCTCCCCACGTGAGCATGGATTCACTGACCAAGACAGATGAAGGAGATGGAGAGTTCAGGGATGCAGAATTCCATGCGGATTAGAACAGAGAAGTGTCTAGGCCAAGAGCAGGGAGAGGCCAGTCCCCTGGGAGTCTATCCTGTGTAAGGGAGTGAGGGAAGAGGGCGACAGGGCTAGCTGAGCACCGAGGGCTGGAGAGCTGAGCCAGAGGTGTTGGCGGATGATGTGGAAACCGGTGAGGGCAGGGTCAGAAGGGGAGACTGTCTGCAGCTGTGGGTGGAAGAGTTGGTCAGGGTGGAGGAGAATTTGGCCTCCCATTTCTTTGGGGCACTGAGGAAGTCGGACACAGGCTGGGAAGGGGCCTTGTTCCCACAGCATTTCTTGCAAGACCAGACGGGCAGGACACAGAAGGCTCTTGGGAGGGACCTTGGACTGGGGACTCTGCTGCTAGAATGATCCTTTCTCACCTCTGGGATGTGTCCTACCCTGTCAAGGGAGGAGCGTTTTGGGTGAGACCTCTAGGGATGCACATCCTGTCTGTTCAGCTCTTGGCAATTTTTCCTGTATAGGAAGTATATGACATGGGAAGGTTTCAAAGATGTGGGGTTCTCCTTCAACACTAGGAGATGGAAGGAAGGGAGCTTTGATTACTGAGCATCTACTGAGTGCCAGGAATTTTCTCTTAACCAACAAACGCCTCCTGTGGAGGTAAGTGGCATTATCCCCATTTCGCAGGTGTGAACACGGAGTCCTAGAAAGATTACACAGCTTGCCTAGTTCTCACAGTTGGAAAGCTGTAAGGCTAAGCTGCAACAACAGGACTCAGATCCTGCTCTGTGCCTTAAGAGGCACATCTGGAGGTGGTGGCTCTAGGCTGTCCTGTGTGTCTTCTGTGATGTTGTCCTTCCCCTTTACTCCTGCTGACCTAAGCCCACCCATGCTCCCTTCACCTCACAGATGATGCACATTAGCAATTCCACCTCTTTCCTCTTACCCCCACTTCCCTCCTCATACCCTCCCCACTGCCCCCTGAGGCCCCAGCTTTCCCTCTCCCTCTCTCCCTCTTCCCTCAGAAAGTGGTTGAAGGCCCTGATGGCTGACAGGGCCCCGGCTCCCTACAGCCTCGCCCCACCCATGCCTCCCTCCTGACTTCCTACTCTCTGCTTCATCCCTCCCTGTCCAGGCCTGTCCCTAAATGATTCCTTTGTTCTCTTCTCCCACACTTGTCTGATTGCCTCTTGCTCTCTGATGCTGGGAACGGGCCCTGCATGGGCCACCTAGCCTTGAAATCCTTCAGCCTTGGGTGAGCAGAGGTTTTCCTGAGAGCAGATGGGTGGTTCAGCAGCCTCAGCCCAGAGGGTCTTCAGGTGGGCACCCACCTGGATAGGTGTACCTTCACTGCCCCCAGGGAGGGGGAGACTGGCCAGGATCTTCCCCTGGCCTGAATTCGCTGCATGGGCTGTCGGCAGTGACATTTGCCAGATGAGCCAGTTAATTGCCAAATTTGTACTCTCAGACAAATGGTAATTATCTGGATAAGAATCTGAAATGCTGGATAGATTTCCCCATTTCCACCTGGATGACAAACAGCCCGGGATCGGTTAGTCTGCTTGACTGGGGTTCAATGTTCCTCCTGCTTCTCCACAGCCTCAGGTCAGGGAAAGAGTGAGTTGGGGCAAGGAAGATATCACCCTGGCCATCTCCAGGCCAAGAGTGGGGAAGAGGATGGAATGCCAGGCCAACAGAGTGTCAGCAGTCCCCTCAGTCTCCTCCTTCACCTTGCAGGTGGGGACACAGGCACAGTGGAGACCTCCCCTTACTGGGCCATGGTTTCCTTGTGGTGAAATTGGACTAGATTTGATTTCCAACCCGGCTGCACATTAGAATTCTCTAGGGAGACCTTTAAAAATACCCCCTGGCGGCCGGGCGCGGTGGCTCAAGCCTGTAATCCCAGCACTTTGGGAGGCCGAGGCAGGTGGATCACGAGGTCGAGAGATCGAGACCATCCTGGTCAACATGGTGAAACCCCATCTCTACTAAAAATACAAAAAAATTAGCCGGCATGGTGGCTCATGCCTGTAATCCCAGCTACTCAGGAGGCTGAGGCAGGAGAATTGCCTGAACCCAGGAGGCGGAGGTTGCGGTGAGCCGAGATCACGCCATTGCACTCCAGCCTGGGTAACAAGAGCGAAACTCCGTCTAAAAAAAAAAAAAAAAAAAAATACCTCCTGGGATAAGGCCTGGGAATGTATGTTTCCACAATTCACCAGCTGATTCTGGTCTGGGACTACTGTTTGGGAGCCACTGGATTCAGTGATCTCAAGAAGACCTCCTGATCCTACGGGAACAAAAAGGCTTCAAACAGCAGAGAAGAGCCCCAGCTCTGCCACTCTTGAGTGCTGCAACTCACTTAAGTCTCTTGGCGACTTTGAGCCTGTTTCTTCATCTGCACCACATAGGACATGCCGGGCCCAGCACTGGCACTCGGGCGTGCGCCATGGACACTGTGGACACTGGGTTGTCTGCTGCCTGCCTGCCGCTTTCCTCCCTGCTTCCTGTCTCCAAGCCTCTTTTATTTCGTTGTTTCCCCCTTAGCACCCTGAGAGGTTACCCTACCTCCTTTCTCACCCACCCCTTCCAGAGCAAGCATTCTCCCCCAAAGTCACCAAGGTCTCCAGGGAAAGGGGCCCAGCCCCTCCAGGGCACCCAGGACTTTAGCCCAACTCCCCTTCCCAAATCCCAAAGAGCTTTCCTGGGCAGACCAGTGCTGTTCGGACACTCAAGGATCAGAGGCTCCCTATGGCCAGCAGCCAGTGGCTCAGCCTCTCTGGAAGAATTGGGCAACAAGATGAGAAACAAAGCCATGGATGTGGCGAGGGAACGAAATTGACCCAAATGGTGAAGTTGGAGAAAATGGAGGCAGGGAGAGGCTGAGCCTTTCACAGCAATGCACCTGGCTGAGTTACCTCCATTCATGCCTCGTCATGCTGGTGCCCCAGAGCAGGCCAGACCCATGATAGGGCAGGGCCACCCAAGAGCAGCCAGACATCCACCCAGGAGGTCTTAACACCCTGGCCTGCTAAAGCTTGAGATAGGTAGAAGGAAGGACCATGAGACACAGAAAGGGCTGCATGTGGATATTTTCATCCCACTCACCTGACCTAGCCTGGGAAATGTCCATTGGCAGAGAGGTAGACTGGAGGACATGTATGGGACCTATTGTGACATTTAGGGTGGAATTGGAAGGGACCACCAGAGGAAGGGGCTGTCATGTTGATCTTTTTCTACCAGAGTTTCTGCTCAGAGTCTGTAGGAAGAGCTGAGGCCCAGGAGATGGGCACTCACAGCCCTGGGTGTCATCTCAGCCTCACACAACCGACCAAGGCAGGTCTGAGGCTACATCATCCGGGCCTTCACCACTGGCCTGCAGAACAGGTTTAAACAAGGCTGCTTGCAAACAGCTATGTGTGGGCTGATGTTTGGGTCTGCAGGAGAGGCCTCAAAAGGGTGCCAAGACTGGCACATTCATTCACTTTGGCCCATCAACCCACTAACCCTGCTCTGTGCCAACGTCCCTCACCTCTGACATTCCAGCAGAGCCAGGCCTAGACAGCCTGTGTGCCCAGCCCAGTCTCCTGGCTGCCTGGCTCCACTTCTCCCTGCCTAGCCCTATGCTGCAGGTATGTACGCAGCCTGCCTGGAGCTCCCACCATCACAGTCGCTTTAGGGGATCGGGCAGTTTCTCCTAAAGCACACATATCCCAACCACATCCCCTGGCGCCCTTTCTCTGGGGCACTCTCAAATACTGGAAGAGGGCTTTGGGGGCTTCCTCTTCAAACAAGGACCTTGGGCAGGCCCCTTTCTTTCTCTGTGCCTGTGTCCCCATCTTCAAGGTGAGGGAGGACACTCAGGGGTTGCTAATACTCCATTGGCCTGGCTTTCTGTCCACTATGGCTTGATGTTGACTTGCAGCCGCTCTGTGTAACTGGGCAGGTGCTCCCCAGTCCTGTGTGTGTGTATATGAGCCCTGCCTCCTGCCCTACATCAAGAGCCTCCCCTCAAGAAAGGGTTGTGAGTCCTGCAGCAGCCCCCATGCCGGAACCTGAATTCTGAATCTGAGCTCCTGGTACCTCCAAACGGGGCTGCCCAAGACCCTTGGGCCTACCAGAACCACCTCTTCCAGGAGCACCAGGCTTAAGCAGAGATACCCTTGGTTCAGACCAAATTTGAGCCCAAACCCTACATAGAAGATGCAGTCACTTCATGTAGAGTTTGGACATTGATTCTTCAATAAGAATGTCCTTTGCTTGTAGTCAAGGTGGGAACCTGAAACCTCTGCCTTCTTGATACCTCTTGGCCCTCTCCTCATCCTAGGGCCTCAAAGACATTTCTAAGAATCCTAGAGCTCTGTGGGTAATTTGAAAACCAAGAGTCTAGCCTCAACCTTTGGGAGACTGAGACTGATAATGGAAAGGAGTTATTCACAGACTCACAGCTAGTTAGAGGCAAAAACTAGGACTGGAAACTTGGTCACATTTCCTAAAACCTTGTCTGAGGCTCTGCAGTTTCTCAGCTGCTGTGATGAGGAGGACGGCCCCTTGTTCTGCATAACCTCACAGCAAAGCTCTCTAAGAATGAGTTTCAAGGCCCCTGTCCCATCTTTGTCTCCCAACAAAGCTTGAGGCCACGCTGGGGTCAGAAGATGGGAGAAGCTGGAAACATCGTCTTCCTGGGCCAAACAAGGCTTCAGGAAGGGATCTGTACATCTGTTCCCCTCTCTACCTCCCCCCTTTCTGTCCAGATGGGCAGGGTGTGGGTGAGAGATGAAGGGAGAGAGGATTAAAGGAGCAGCTCCCCCTGATCAGGAAGGCTGGGCAAGGAGGAGTCCTGCGCTGTTCAGATCTGCGGTGTGCAGAAGCTCTTCAGAAAAGCGGAGTCCACTGCTTTAAAGGCCAGGAAGGTTTGCCCCCTGGAAGGCCACACCAGAAAATTATGTACCTTAGGGTAGAGTGACCCCCTCATCTGTGGGGCACAGGGCAGTGGCCACAGCTGGGGTCTCTGTCCAAATCACCTTCCCCAGGTATGCTACATCCACAAGCCTGCACTCGCCTCTGCTCCTTCCCATAGAAGTGCATGCACAGTCACATACACCAAACTCATGCAAACACACTTACATATCACATAGACAAATACAGGCAAACATCCACAAAGGCACAAAAACACCCACGTGCACATAAAATACACACATATGCAGCTCCTCAACTTCTGATGGGGTTATTTCCCAATAAACCCATTGTAAGTTGAAAATGTGATAGGTCAAAAATGCATTTAATAACCCTAGACTACCAAGCATCATAGCTTAACGTAGCTTACCTTAAACATGTTCAGAGCAATTGCATTAGCCTACAGTTTAGCAAAATTTTCTACTACGAAGCCTATTTTGTAATAAAGTGTTGGATTTTATGGAATACTGTACTGAAAGCATAGCACTTTCACACCAACATAAATCGAACCATCCTAAGTCAGGGTTAGCTGTAAATGTACACACCATCCACACACAAACTCCAAACCTCCCCAACAGTGTCCAGCTATAGGAATAGGTGTGTCCACACCCAACCACACACGCGAAACGCGGGGCCCAGCTGAGAGACGGATAAAGGAGGCTGTGGAGAAGTCAAGAGACCAGCTGGGGATCCGCTAGAACAAGCAGCCACTGTAGCACAAATAAAAACTGCAAAACAGCAGAAAGGACATTTTGGTGGGCCCCAAAATTCTCTCCTTCTGGTATCTTTACTCACCTACAATCCATTCCTCAGGAGCCAATCCCACTCAGGTTGGAGGAATTGTCTCTTCTTTAAAGCCAAAAAGAAAGAAAAGAAAGAAGGAAGGAAGGAAGGAAGGGAGGGAGGAGGGAGGGAGGGAGGGAGGGAGGGAGGAGGGGGAGGGAAGGGGAGGGAGGGAAAGAAAAAAAGAGAAAAAATAAGAATAAGAGGAAGGAGACAGAGAAGAAGCGGGGGGGGGGGGGGAAGGAAGAGGAGGGAGAGGAGAAGAAAGAGAAGAAGTGAGAAGGAAAAGGAGAAGGAGAAGGGAGGAGGAGAAGGAGAAGGAGAAGGAACACCCAGCCAGGCACAGAGCCCAGGAGTGAGTTATGTGCCATTGGGTCTTACTCTCTGACCCAACTTGAATTTATCCTATGACTTTGATCAGGCCCCCAATCTTTTCTGAGTCTCCATCTGCTCATCTAGAAAATACCCCTGTCTCCTGAGACCTTAGGGGATTGGAGAGCCACCTCTGATCCCCAGCTGGGGTTAGGGGCAACAGGGGGCATGAAGGGAAATAAATGTTTACTAAAAGAGCCAAGGACAGTAGAGGTTTAAACCCCAAACACCAGGAAGCCCCATTGGAGAAGATAAGGTAGGAGGGTCAGGGTGAGGGGAGAGGCCAGGAGGGGCAGGAGGGGCCCAGCACGCACCTCTTTCTCGGCCTTGGCCTCCTCCACTGTCACGGTGCTGTGATTCTTGTGCTCCTGGAACATGCAGAGGTAGCAGATGCAGGTCTGGTCAGTCTGGCAGAAGAGCTCCATAGTCTTGCCATGCATGGGACACTTGCGGGCCTCGAAGTCCCGGATGGGCTCCAGCAGCTGGTGGTCTCGGAAGGCGGCGCCCTCCAGGTGGGGCTTGAGGTGCAGCTCGCAGAAGGAGGCCTGGCACACCAGGCAGGACTTGACCGCCTTCTGCTTGTTGCCAATGCAGGAGTCGCACAGCACCTCCTCGGAGCTGGACTTGGCCGGGGAGAAAAGGCCCGTGTCTGCCCGGGGGTAGCTGTTCCGCCGCGCCTCCCCGGGCTCCACGATGGACACTGAGGGCTTCCGCGGCTCCGAGAAAATGGACTTGCGCAGCTCGCCTTTTTCGGCAAAGGTGACGGGCGGCTTCTTGGCGGCCCCCAGCTGGAGCCCTGCGTACGGTGACCTCTTGCCTTCCAACGAGTCCATGCTGAAGTAGTTGGAGTTCTTGTCGTCGCCCGACTCGACAAACTGGATGATGGGTCGCCGCCACTCATTGCCCGCGAACAGGGCGCTCCTCCCTTCCCCTGGCTTCAGGGCACTGCCCAAGCTCTTGCCCTCGGCTGCCTCCCCGCTGTGCCCGTTGGTGGTCTTGGCATCCTTGCCGTCGGCCTTGGTGCCATTCTCCAGGCTGCCATTGGGACCCGACGGGCTCCGAGCATCCCTGGCTTCCGGGCTCGACCCGTTGCTCCTGGAGGCATCAGCAGCTTCCATCGCAGGGGGGCTCAGCTGATCTGTTTCAGGCTTGCTGGGGTTCAGGGTAGGTGACCTTGCTGGCGGGTGTCTCGGCAGGGAGTGGGGCAGGCAGCCGCAGGGCCCAGAGACACACCTGTGGGGAGGAGGAGGGGAAGGAGGTGGAGGGGAGGAGCAGCAGGTACAAGCCTGACACAACGGGCCCAGGGAGAAGCAGGCAGCCCCGGCAGCCAGCAGAGCAGATAATTACACGGGAGCCACGCCCTGTACAGTCATCCCTAACCTGATTTTTAAAAGAAGTGTTTTTTTCTCCCCCAGCTTAATTATTTTCCACAACTCAGCAACCAGTTGGGCTGCTTCCCTCTGACGCACTTGCTTCTCATCGGGGGAGCAGGGAGCCTCTGTCTTCACAGGTGGGCAGGCTTCACTGAGCCCAGAGGCCCCTGGGGCAGAAGATGAGGTGTCTGCAGAGGCCTACGGGGCACAGGGCTGTTAACTGGGTCACACAAGTCAAATAGCCTTGTAATTTGCGGGCCTGAGTTTCAGAAGAAAGATGGTCCACCCTGGGACTGTGGAGCTGCTTTTCACCACAAGCAGGGAGGATGGGTTCCGTTTGATTTGGCTACTGGTTACTGAACCCTACTTGACAACCTCCAGGCACATTCCTAGGTACTTAATATATATGACCTCATTCGAGCATCCCTAAAACCTGTTCAATTACCCCTTTTTAATAGATGAGAAAACCGAGGCTTTAAGAAGATAACTCACTGCCTAAGTCAAGTGGCAGAGCTGGGATTTGAACCCTAAGCCTTTGAGATGCCAAAGTCCCTTCTGCAGCTGGGAGGTCATGGAGTTACCTGAATATCTCACCAGAAGATGGCTTCTGAGAGTCTGACCTATCCCAGTGGCCCTAATAAGATACATGTAGACCTTAGATTATTGCTATCAGAGCAGGCCAGACCCTTCATGGATTCAAAGGACTGAGGCACGGGAATAAGGGAATCCAAGCAATGCCAGGCCAGGTGGTTGGGTTCTCAGGGCCCAAACACTTGACTCACCTGTCTCCACACTTGCCCTTCTGTGTGACTCAGAAAACATCTGCCCATCCTCTCTGGGCCAGGCCACAGGCAACGTCCTCCAAAAAGAGGCCAGTGAAGTGTGGGATTCAGATAATCTCAGAAGTCACCGGTTCAAATATGACTATCATATAAATACAGACCTCAGGAAGAAAAGTGAGGAAAACAAATGCTATCCCCTTCCCCTCCCTGGCCCCTGCAGAACACCAGGGACCCTCAGCTCTTGTAGGATATGCCCCGAAAGTCACTTCTGGGCTCTGACCCACTGGCCTCATCCTGGGAAGCCTCCAAACCCCCAAGGAAAGGGCATGCCTCTCCAGGGCCAGGCTGGGTGGGGCAGAGAAGACAGTTGGTGAGGCTGGCATGGCAGGTTCTGGGCTATGTGGAGGGGAGTGGGTTTCCCGTCCTTCACCTCAAATCCAGGTCAAGTCAGGAAGCCCCCGCCCCTTTGGCTGACCAGACCTTTAACAAAGGTAATCCTTTGTAAAAAACAGCCCCTGGGAAAGAGGGCAGAGACAAGCCCAGCTCACAGAGCAGCTGAGTTCTGAGGGGATGTATGTGGGGTGGTGTTGGCATGGGGAGTGCTGGCTTTATGACGGGGATTCCCCTCTTACTTGAGGTCTCTGTCTGTGGCCCCAAAGGAGCCCTGTCTTGTGTGAACTCACTGGTGAATTGGCTAAGAGCTCATCGGGCCTTCTGGGGAGGGGAACATTTTCTCAAAATGCCAGACCCAATTTCTCTGGGCTCTTGCCTGAGGTATGGAGGGAGAAGGAGGGAGGGAAGTCCTGTCCTGGCATGCTGGATGGGGACATGCCCCTCCCTCTTTCCCTGATAGTGTTTCCCTAACCTGCAGAGAACAGGCAATGAGGAGAAAAGAGCAGAGAGGACATGAAGAAACAGAAGAGGAAAGCCATCGGGGTCTGGTTACAGTCCAACATCAATGCTGGTTGAAACTGGGGTACACTGGAGGGCCTCTGTTAGTTCTTAGAGTTCATGCACTTATCTTCCAGAAATCTGGGGAAAGATTCTGAGCTTTAGGAATAGGCAGACACAGAGTAGATGTTCAGGAAATATTTGTGGGTGAGTGGATGAACAGACGGATGGATGAATGCATGAAAAAGTTAAAGCTAGATGAATATGAATGGGGAAATAAACAGATGGATAAGATGTGTAGATAATGGACAGTGGGTGGTTGGATGATGAATGGATAGATAAATGGGTGGGTAGATGAATGGATGAATGAAATAAGTAAAAGCTAGATGAATATGAGTAAGGAAATGGGTGGGTGGGTGGATGGATGGATGGATAGATGGATGGGTGGTTGGGTGGATGGATGGATGGGCGGGCGGATGGATGGATGGATGGATGGATGGGTGGATGGATGATGGGTGAGTGGGTGGGTGGATGGATGGACAGATAGTTGAAGAGCTGGGTAAAATAATTTTAAAAGAATGGAAGGAGAGAGAAAGAAAAGTTGATATATGGGAAGGAAGGAGAAAAGAGAAGGCAAGAGTAAGGAAGGAAGGAGACAGATAGGCAGTAAGTAGGTGAGTGGATTGCAAGATTGTGTCAATAAAAGTTTAGTGACAGACTCTTCCAGGAAAAAAAGCACGGGTTTGTAGTGTTTGAAAATTTCTCCCATCCTAGTCAGTCCCAAGCTACCAATGTGAAGAGCGCTGGAAAGAGATGCACAATGTCTGCTCTCCCAGCCAGTGTGTGAACCTGTTCCAATGCATCGCTGGAGGAATAGTGGACAATCAAAGTGGAAGACAGCTTATAAGAGGGAAGATAGAAAGATGGATGCTGGAGGAAGCCAGGGGAACAGGCTCAAGTGACTGAAGGCAAAAGGAAGATGAGGTGAATTTCTCTCTTCCAAGAGGGTTTCCCTAACCCAAGCCCAGTGACCACTGCCCCCATTCAACCCCTGTAACAACCATCCCTGTCTGTCCTACTCAGGAGGCATTTAGCTCAGCCCTCCTGTTTGTTCATTACTCATTCATTCACACATATTTACTGAGCATCCTACCATGGGCCAGGGTTAGGCAAGGGACTGATCATACAGACATGAAGGAGTCCTAGATCGTGCCAGTGGGGAGCTCACAGTTTAGTGGAAGAGATCAGTAAGCAAATCACTTAAATTTGGCATGAACAGAGAATGAGAGAAATATGTTCGAGGGTCATGGGCTGGCCAGAGGAGGGAGAGCCCACCATGTGCTGAGAAAGGCTCATCTCTCCAACCAGGATGAGCACGGCTCACTTTCCATGCACATAAGTGACCTCCCTGGCTACACAGAGACAGTGTTTGACTTGACTCAGCAGATGTTTATTCAGCTGAATTCTCAGTCAGTGCTGGTTAGCTGGTCTTTTGGTTCTCCTAGGCCAGGGTGCAGGGCCCCTCCTCCCTTGAGGGACGGCTCTACCCAAATGCTGGGTAGAGGGTAGAGTCTCCTGGAGATCCCAGAATCCAAGGGTTGAAAAGAAGCAAACAATTGTCCTTTCAGAGCTAGTCCCCAAGCCCTCGTCCCACCACCCCAATATCCCTCCTGGAGCTGAAATGAAGAAGAGAATCCCCACCCCTGGTGACTGAGGTCTGGATGGGCACTGCACACCCTACAGGAAGGTGATCACACCTGGAGCTCCCCAGACCCTCGCTCAGGACCTGACTACAGGCATCTGCTGGGGTCCTGCCCCTCTCCAGCCTCAAACTCAGTTGCACAGGTTCCATAAAAGGGCATTTCCTGAAAGCCATCAGAGCCTATGTGTCCTATGCAACTTGGCAAAAAGCCCCCAAAGGCCATCATCTGAACTGCTGTGGCAGAGGAGCCTCTTTACCTTTAAAGGCATGGAAAGAAAGGGAGCCCGTTGAAGCCCCCCAGTCACTCCTCCCACATCTCATCCTGTTCTCCCTCTGGTCTAGCTTAAAGTCTTCCTGCTGCAACATCCCTCCCTATACCAGGTGGTGGTGAGATGTGACTGGCTGCCAGCCCCTGCCTCATCCCTCACAAGCTTTAGAAGGTGAGAAGAGCTGGCAGGTGTGGCTTCCAGAGAAGGATTCCTTCCTATGGAGCAGAGGCAACTTCTACCTTTTGCTGCTTGGCCCTCTCAGACCAGGCATGCCTGACAGCTCCCACGGAGTCCCTCCTCCTACGCCCACCCACAGGCCAACCCCAACCCTCCTCCCAGGCTTCTCTCATGAAGCACCTCAAAGCTGTTCCCTTCCTGGCAGCCTCCCTTGATTCAGCGGGTGGAGCCGCCTTCACTTACCTACTGTGTGGCCTGGAAACACCGGATTCTGTCACCAATCATCTTCAGATGAAAGAGGCAACCCCTTAAAAGGAGAACACTCTCAGGCTTCCTCGGAATCCCAGGGTCAGGAGGGAGTGGTCAACTGGTCCGTCCCCTTGCCCCTGGGCAAGGCTCTATCCAGAAAGTCTTTGATGTATCTTTTAAAGAACTATATATTCTTTAAAAGACCTGTGAGAAAAAAGATTTCACAGCTTCCCTCAGCCATTCATTTCAAGTTTTAGGACTGCTTGCTGCCGGAAGTTCTTCTTTGAGTCTAACATAAATACTCTATAAATGAAAGTGTACTGTGCAATTGCAGTTAAGGAACTGAGCCTCCGGCACTGCAAAAGGGAAGCTACAAGGTCATTGCTTCTGTAAGGGGAAGAATCTGATCCAGTCCTAATGCTTAGTTCTTTTGACTTTTTTTTTTTTTTTTTGAGACAGGCTCCCACTCTATTGCCCTGGCTAGAGTGCCTCTCTCCTCTCCCCTCTCCCTCCTCCCCTCTCCCTCCCCTCTCCCCCCTTCCTCCTCCTCCTTCCCCCTCCCCTCTCTCCCCTATCCCCTTGATGTGATCTCCTCTTACTGCAACCTCCACCTCCCAGGTTCAAGTGATTGTCCCACCTTAGCCTCCCAGCACCTGGGACTACAGGCCCACACTACCATGCCCAGCTAATTTTTGTATTTTTCGACGGGGTTGCACTATGTTGGTCAGGCTGGTCTCGAACTCCTGACCTCAAGTGATCCACAGGCCTCAGCTCCCAAAGTGCTAGGATCACAGGCATGAGCCGCCGTGCCTGGCCTCTTCTGACTTCTTGGTGCCCTTGTCCTCTTTTCACACCTCTAGCTGTAGACAG